ATATTCAAGCATCCACTGACTTTAATTAGCTCAGATATTGTCTTCAAACTGAGAAATAAAAGGTCTGTTCAGCTGGTTGTATCTTCAACATCACTGTAGCAACATAAAACTGTGAGTGACCGGAGCTGTTTGCCGCTCAAAGCTCAGTTTTCTTTTAAATCTGATGTAGTTTTTGCACAAAGACTGTTTGAGGTTTACTTATCAGTACAACTTTTTGTCTGCCTCTCATTAACTTGGCAGTCAGGAAGTAGGAGACACAGATATATCGTTACCATGCTGACCACAAAGGAGTGGCCAGCATGTACTTTTGTGTCATTAGTACGCCATTCCTTCCTAACTGAGACTTTAATATCACCTTTGATCTTGGATCTCATTGCACTTTTTTTCCAGTTTGTACATTAAAATGTAGATATTTTTTTCTTTGCCTAAATTATTACAAAGTTATGTTGGAATTTTGGCCAGCTACTGGCATCCTTCAAAGCATCCTCAGACATTTTCTAATTTAAGAGATAATTCCCCAGCCTTATCCAGCCCATTTTAGSTAACTTTACCGTATGTCTTTCAGAGTGAGCAGAGTGCTGTGGTGGAATTTTAAAGCTCATCTCACTATCTAATAATAATGAGGCACCAAACAAACTGTGGAGGATATACCTAAGATCCTCTGGTGTGTGTGTGTGGGGGGGGGGGGGGGGGTGCGAAGTGGGATCAAAGTGCTTTGGTTTTATTTGGCTTTCCTTGATGAAGTAACAAGCATCTTTGTGCATGATTCACCTAAGCCACAATTAGCTGTTTATTACAGGAGGCAGGTTACAGTAACGCATACTAACTGATCCTTAAAAAAAGTCTTGTGTTTATAGTAATGTAGGCTGAAGATTCAGTGACTAGTWTTATTTTAATTTCAATCTTATTCTGAAAAAGGGTATGTTGTGTAATATACGAACAAAACAGAATACAATAATTTACAAATGTCATAAATACATTTTAATTTCAAATGATTAAGTTTTAAGAAACTGTACCATTTGTAAGAAAAAATAAGAACATTGGGCCTCATGCAAGAACCGTTCGTACGCACAGATTTGTTTTTAAAT